TTTCCTGCACCGTCAAGGCCTGGAGAGGTGTGCGTGCACACAAAAGACTCAAACTTTGTTAGTCTTAAAGGTGCCCCTGGGCTCAAATTAAGATCTATACTGATTGCCAGTTTTTGCCCCCTGGTGGAGGGGCTGTCGCTAAGTGTCAGAGCCTCTGCTTGGCATGCAGAAGGCCCCAGGTTCAATCCTCAGCATTCCCACATTCAAAAGGACCAGGCAGGAGGTGATGTGGAAGACCTCTGCCTGAGACCCTGGAGAGCCATGAGGAGGAGCCATGGCTCAGTGGCTGATCATCTGCCTGGCATGCAGAAGGTCCCAGGTTCAGTCCCTGGCATCGCCCATTGAAAAGACCAGGCAGGAGGTGGCGTGGAAAGGCCTCTCTCTGCCTGGGACCCTGGAGAGTGGCTGCCAGCCTGAGCAGACCACGCTGGCCATGTTCTGATTCAGCAGAAGGCCGCTTCACTTTTGGCCTAAATGTCTGACTGTCGAATATTAGGAAGGGGCTGTGGCTCAGTGGCTGAGAATCAGCTTGGCATGCAGAAGGCCCCATGTTCAGTCCCCAGCAGCATCTCCAGGTAAAAGGACCAGACAGGAGGTGATGTGGAAGACCTGAGACCCTGGGAGATCCGATGTCAGTCAGATTAAACAGATTCTGAGGAGGGGCCATGGCTCAGTGGTAGAGCACCTGCTTGGCATGCAGAAGGTCCCAGGTTCAATCCCCAGCACCTCCAGTTAAAAAGGACCAGGTAGTAGGGGATGGGAGAGACCTCTGCCTGAGACCCTGGAGAGCAGGTGCCAGTCTGACTAGACAAGACTGGCCTCGATGGATGAAGGATCTCATTCAGTGGAAGGCAGCTTCATGTGGGGCCTAAATGTTTGACTGTAGAATAGACTGGAGAATCAGTTTGCTGTGCAGAAGGTCCCAGGTTCAATCCCCGGCGGCATCTCCAGTTAAAAGGACTGGGCAGGAGGTGATGTGAAAGACCTCAGCCTGAGGCTCTGGAGAGCTGTGGAGAGGGACCATGGTAGAGCATCTGCTTGGCATGCAGAAGGCCCCAGGTTCAATCCCTGGCAGGATCTCTAGTTAAAAGGACCGGGCAGGAGGTGATGGGAAAGACCTCAGCCTGAGGCCCTGGAGAGCTGTCAAGAGGGACCATGGTAGAGCCTCGGCATGCAGAAGGCCCCAGGTTCAATCCCTGGCAGCATCTCCAGTTAAAAGGACCGGGCAGGAGGTGATGGGAAAGACCTCTCTCTGCCTGAGACCCTGGAGAGCCGCTGCCAATTTGAGTCGACCAGACCGACCTTGATGGACCAAGGGGCCTGATTCATTGCGAGGAAGCTTAATGTGTTCACATGCCTGCATGACAGCATGGCGGGGGTGGTGGGAGCGGCCCTGGCAGAGTGTTGACATCCAAAAGCTGTGTGGGTGACACAGGTGGGAGGGGCAGGAGGTCTGTGATGACAGGTGAGGAGACCAGGAGGACTCCCAGCAGCCTTGGGAAGGAGGCTCCCAAGTCTCAGGCGGGCCGGACTGGGCTGGTGGAGCGTGATTGGACGGTGTGTCACCCTGGCGAGGCAACCTTCTTTCAGCTGCCCCAGCACCCTGGCTCAAGAGACTCCATTCTGGAAAGCAGGGTTGCCAGCCTTCTTTTGGGACCTGGAGAATTCCTGGGGTTACATCTGATCTCCAGATGACAGAGTTCAGGCCCCCCCTGGAGAAAAGGGCCCCTTCAGGGGGTTCCGAAGCTGACCGGGGGGGGGGGTTAGGCAGAGGTAGCCGTGCCCTGCGCTGGGCAGCCTCAGTGGGGAGGGCAAGAGGCTTGGCAGGGCAGACTTGGAGGGCGGGGCAGCACTCTTCCTTTGAAGAAGGCCCCCTCCACCGAAGGCACCATTCAAAGCAGAGGCGGGATTACGTACTTTGGGGAGGCAGGAATCCTCGAGTGTTTACTTTCAAACCGTTACCTTACCATGCCATTGTGCAGTCCCTGACTGAGGCCGAGTTCAGACTGGCCATTTGAAGCGCGAGGAAGTCGTGGCAAAGAAGACCCGGAACAGACCTGGAACGGCTTGTTCGTGGCATTCCCGTTCACACTGCAGCAAATGAAGCGGGAGGATACCGTGGAGGAAGCGCAAGGGAGTGTTCGCACTCTTGGCCCGCCCCTGGCGGGCTGCTAGCAGCTGTTTCTGTGCTCCGCTGCATGCGCCTATGTGCATGGGTGCCCGTTGCGGAAACAGCCAGCGCCTCTTATCAACGACTGCGGGTTTTTCCCGCCTTAGCAGCGCTTGTGTTCAGTGTTCCCTCTAAGGTGAGTTAGTGTGAGCTAGCTCACAGGTTTTTAGCCTCCAGCTCACACATTTTTGTCTTGGCTCGGGAAGGATGGCTACAGAGCAAACTAATTTATGCAGCAGCCAAATCACTCACTCACAACTTTAATGCCGGCAGCTCACAAAGTAGAATTTTTGCTCACAAGACTCCACAGCTTAGAGGGAGCATTGCAGTTGCGTTCACATATCAGGGAACCGGAATCAGCCCGCTCTACACACGGTTTGCTACCACTTCCACCAGACACTTTTAAAACTTGGGAGGGGAGCGGCACAAGACCTTCCACAGACCTCCTCCCTAGGGTTTCCAGGTTGCCCTTGGCCACTGGCAGGTGATGGGGGGGGGGAGGGTTGCCAGATCCAGGCTAGGAAACCCCTGGAGAGCTGGGGGTGGAGCCTAGGGAGGTCAGGGACCTCAGTGGGGTACAATGACATAAAGTCCACCTTCCAAAGCATCCATTTTCTCTGTAGACTGGAGACGAGCTGCATTTCCAGGGGATCCCCAGGTCCCACCTGGAGCTTTGCATCCCTAGGGCCCCTCTACCCGCATCCCAAGAAGATCCAGGTGAGGAGGCCCTGAAAATGTCCTGCGTCTCCCCCCCCCAAGCCTGTCTCACACCACTTTGCATTCTCTCCCCCCCCCTCTGGCTGCCACAGGCTTCTGCCACCTGCCCTCCGTCTGCGGGAACTGCAAGGCGATGTTCTCCCGCTACTTCTACAACGCCTCCAGCCAGAAGTGTGAGCAGTTTGTCTACGGGGGCTGCGGTGGGAACAAGAACAACTTTGAGACGGAAGAGGACTGCTCCAAAACATGCGTGCCCCCCGGTAAGGCTCTGGGTTCCGGAAAGAGCTGCCGTCTGGCTCTTTGCCGCCCCAGCCAAGACGCCATCCTGGACCCCCCCAGTCCGATTCACACTCGGGAGCCCCTTTTTCTGGGGGCGGGTGAAGCACACGATGCTCTTTGTTTGGTGTTGTGGTTAGGTGTGCGGACTCTAATCTGGGAGAACCGGGTTTGATTCCCCACTCCTCCACTTGCACCTGCTGGATGACCTTGGGCAAGCCGGTAGTTCTGATAAGAGCTTTTCTTGAAAAAGAGCCGTTTCTGTCAGAGCTCTCTCAGCCCCACCTACCTGCCAGGGTGTCTGTTGTGGGGACTGTGGAGGGGAAAGGAGTTTGTAAGCCGCTCTGAGACTCCCTTGGGTAGTGAAGGGCCATGGGGTAGAAATCCAATCTCTTCTCTCTTCTCTCTTCTCTCTTCTCCTTCTTCTCCTTCTTCTCCTTCTTCTCCTTCTTCTCCTTCTTCGCCTTCTTCTCCTTCTTCGCCTTCTTCTCCTTCTTCTTCTTCTCTACCTCACAGAGTGTCTGTTGTGGGGAGGGGAAGGGAAAGGAGGTTGTAAGCCGCTCTGAGACTCCTCTGGGTAGTGAAGGGCCATGGGGTATCAATCCAATCTCTTCTTCTCTTCTTCTTCTGCTGACTTCCCACCACCCTTTTACTAGATATTCATTGCAGTCAGATTGTGACACCATTTGGGAGGCAGGGGAGGGGAAAGGGAAATATCTGGTTTTCTAGCCACATCAACAAAAGGAAGCAAGACCTACTGGGACCTGCACAGAGTTGGTCTGACTGGGTGGAGGAGGGGGCTTGCGTGTTTCTTAGGCTTTTCTCTGTTCACCTCTACAGGGAGCATTTGAAAAAAAAACCCAGGTCCCAAGGAAACCAAACGTCTGGCTACAGAGAATGCCTAAGCAGGAACTGAGTTGATTTCCCATGAATGATCTTCCCCTTTTTCCCCCCACAGGAAAACCATAGAACGGGAAGACTCTTGGAGAAACGTCGTCCTCGGTTCCCACCTGTCCTTCCCGAGGCGCTAGATCTAATACACCGCCCAGCCCTGAAGCATCCTCTTTCCTGGCCCAGTGGAGGACGTGGCAAGAGGGCGGCCATCTTGGACTCTGGCCCAGCCAATCAGGCAGGAGGACTTGGGGGAGTGATGATGAGGCTGCTTTTTCCCCTCAGGTCCCGGGACTGCCTTGACCACCCTTTGGTTTCCCGTGTGATAGGAGCGCAAAAGCATGTCTCCCCCCCCCCGCTTGAGCACTGGCCTGAGGGAGACAGTCTTCCAGCAGCCTCTCTGTGGCAGCACCTCCGCTCCCATTCCCTTTCCCTTTCCCAAAAATTATGTCTCCGACCAGTGGGGGCCAGAATGAGAGCTTGTGCTCCAGGCCACATCTCCTTCCTTTTGTGTGCGAGGCACGGCGCCCTTCCTCCGTCTCAGCAAGGCCTCTGGGGGTGAAATCCAAGAGCAGCTGCTTGGCAACCCATGGAGATGGCCTCCGTCTTGGTCCACGCTGAAGTCCCTCTCCACCTGCCCCTTTCACAGCCAGGCAGCCGGCCCTCTCCTCCTCGCCCGGGGCCAGGTGCACATGCAAAACCACGGGCCCCCCTGAGGGCAACAAAGAATGTGATTTGCCTCCTCTTTGGGCTTCCGTGTGTGGTGAAGGGCTTCGGCATGAAAGGCACTCTGCACTTGCCCAAGAAACACTCAAAGCCAACTTTCTCTCCCTTTGAGAACCAAGAGCTGGGTCCGCGCCAAACAGAAGACCACCATCAAAAACATGACTCTGGTGGAGAGGACCAAAGATATCCCTCCTGGGCCAATAGGCAGAGCGGAGAAACCTTGACTGCTCCCAAGCCAGGCTCTGGAAGAATCTGGAATGTTCTGAGCATCGTACTTTGCAGTTGAGGTGGTTCTCACAACAAGCTGAGTGTGGATTCGGACCCTTTCAGTCCAGTGTGACTCATGGGTTCCCCTCAGTGCCCAGGCATGCCTGATCCTAGTTTGGATCATCTCCGTGGGGCACCACGAAAAGGGGTTTCAGCATTGCCAGTGCCACTTTCCCCACCAAAAATGGCTCTGGGATGGGAGGGGTGCCGTCTGCCCCACGGGGCTTTCTTCCCCACGGCCTCTTAAAAAAGGGAATATTTTTAAAAGCCTCAGCAAAAGGGCACAGGTTCAGTCTCTTGCTAGCCACAATATCATGGGCACAATCCGGGACACGCCGGCCTGTGGGAACGCCTTCAGCCACATCCAGCCCTTGGAAAAGCCACCCGGGTGGGAACTGGGGGGCAAACTGCACCCTCTCGGTGGCAAAAGGCTGCAGCTGTTTGGAGGCCGGCTGGGAAACTGTGAACTCTTCCTGGTGCTGGTCAGTCGGGAACCTTCTTCTGTCTCTTGCTTGGCCACCCCTCACCTCTGTTCTTGCCAAGACGGGGCAGCAGCGTGTGTAGCAGCAGGTGAAACATCTGGAAAGGCCCCAGGAGGGAGGGAGGGGGGGCTCCTCGCCTTGCTCAGAGAAGCCGTCTGATGCTTGGAATCCAGGGACACCGTTTGGGTCCCACCTTTGGAGGAAGAGAAGAGCCGGCTTGGGCCAGGGACTCTGCTGCTTTGTAACGTGGAAGTCCGTCCTACCTTTCTGTGAACCCCAAATCTTCCTGAAATATATTTTTATATTCAGTTACTCTTGTAACTTGTGCTTAATTGTGTTCAGCTGGGTGTTGCTCTGGGGCACAGGAGCAAACAAAAGGACTCTGTGTGCGTGTGTGTGTATGTGTGTGATCGCTTCTTTGCATGGTCCCTGTCGGACTCAACCAGTCGCTTCTTCAGAAGGAAAGTTTATTGATCAGTATTGGCAGAACATCTCTACTTCAGGATCTGTGTTAAGACTAAAGCATAAAACGTGGGGTGAAGAGACATACAGTGTTCAAAGGGGGCCACTGGGTGGCGTAGCGCCAATGAGGGGAGAAGAGGGGTCTGCCAGAATGTAACGGCCCCACTTTCTGAAAAGTATGCATACGGAGAGTGATTTCAGCTAAGCATACCTTTATTTAGTCCGGAACAAAGACACTTGACCGGCTCGCAGGCCGGCTAATATTCGTTCAGAAAACCCGCCACCAAGCTTGGGGATCCAACACAAGCACACCTAAACACACACCCCACTCCCGATAGGCTATTTACACTAACCGAGAGACCTATTGGCCTTCCGGCTGGGGACCTAGCCCTTTCATTGGGCCTGGCTAGGATCCTACTGGCCCATTGTCTTTTGGCATGAAGTTAGTGGTGTTTGTGCCTTGGCAAGTCCCGGCATGCCCGGCCCTGACAGGGCCTGATACACTACACTTTCCCAGAGAAGGTGTTACGGCGAAGCATTCAAGGCCAAGCACATAAAACATACAGATAAGAGAGCATCACTGAGGCAACCAGGAAACCGAAAGTACATTCCAAGGAGTGAGCAGTCGTCCCTCCCACCAGCCTTTATGGCAGCGACATCCCAATTCCAACATCCAGGGTGAATGAACCAGCCACTGGCCTGCCCATTGGACACAGGTTTGGTTACAGCTGCAGTTGCCAGAGGTCTGGAGAGCTTTCTCAGATATCAAACCAAGGCATTTATTGTTTGTCCTGTCACAAATGGTGTGCTCTGGGCAGTCACAATATGTGTGTGTGTGTGGGGGGGGGTAATGTGTGGGCTGGTGCTAGGTAGGTAATACAAAAACTGAGGGTCACAGACTTCAGTGTTCTCTCTAAGCTGAGTTAGTGTGAGCCAGCTCACAGTTTTTTAGCCTCCGGCTCGCACATTTTTGTCTTAGCTCAGGAAGGAGGGCTCCAAAACAAACCAAGTTATGCAGCAGCCAAATGGCTCACTCACAGCTTTAATGCCAGTCGCTCACAAAGTAGAATTTTTGCTCACAGGACTCTCTACAGCTTAGAGGGAGCATTGGTCACAGTGTTAGGAGGAGATGGAAAAAACATATGACACTGTGTATAACAGATGTATGCTCAAGGCAGATCTATTTTGTGCATTTATTTTTCTTTTTTAATTTTTCCCTATACTGTTATATAAATATTGTTGTCAAGTATTATCAAACATGGGTTTCACCAAAACAACACATCAAAGGGCAGGTTTATGGGATGTTCAAACATTCAAACAGCACCTTGTCAGTTTTACAATCACTAGTCCCTCCGGACTCTATGGTAATTTACCTGTATCGAACACAATCTTTTTCAAGGACAGTGATGTACATACAGGACATAAGTTGCAATAAATTCTCTTTGTGAGTATAAAACTCTTAAAATAGCAAATAGTGGCATATTTTCTATGGTTCCACTGGAGCCCTTGCAGCAAACATAATAACTTATCTAGGAGACCATATCTCTCAAGTTCTATCAGGCTGCCTGTTAAGCACTTGAGAGATTTGTTCTCAGAAAGAGATTTCTCAAGTGTTGTAATGTTATAACGATCCATCTGTTTTCTCTGAACTCCCAATTTTATTTTATTTTTAAATAACACATCTCTATCTCTTTTAGTAGTTGAAATACACCTTGTCTCTTCTATCTCTGCAGCAAAAGGGACTAGAAACGTTTGTTTTTCACATGAAAGCTGGGAATTCAGAGAACTGGATCATTATAATGTTAAAACACTATAGAGATCCAGCAATTGCTCTTTTTTTAACCGTGTGTATGTGTGTGTAGGCGGGATGGAATGGCAGCCTGGGGCAGGGAAAATGCAGGGAAACCTACCCCCTGGAAGCCCTGTGGCAGCAGCACTGAATTGGCTGCTGCAAGGGCAATGGGAAACTGCAGGGACTCATGGTGGCCCCATGGAAGACCCTGCAGGTCTCAGAGACAGCCAGGGAGAGTAAGCAGTGTCCTCTGAGGGCACAGGATGGGATATGCTCAGGAAACTCATGGCTGGGGAGTTGGGGAAGAAAAGGTTGTGGGTCACACATCACGACAGGAGACCAGGAAAACAAGAACTGGAGTGGGGGGAGGCTGTGAGGAACTTCAGAGCTGCGGCAAAGAGTCTGTCCTGGATCCAGATGGCAGCCACTTGTCAAGGGCTTTTCCCACTCGTGCTGCCCGAGATCTCCTGGGCCGGAGATGCTGCTGGGCACTGAACCGGGGGGGGGGTCTGCGGCATGTGAAGCGGGAGCTGCACCACTGAGATGGGACCCTTCCCCTTGTCAGAACCCACAGCCAACAACGAAGTGCACGCATTCAGGAACGGTAATACTTTTATTGCAGAGCTATAGATGCAGTAACATAAGCACTGTTAAGACTGGCGGCAGCCCCGTGGGCATAATAGGATATAGGGTATTCGTATCCACCACCACCCACAGCACTGGCCAATTAGGCACCCTCCTGCGCACGGGATAAAGCTTGGAGACCGTTAGGTAGCTAAAGCTGAGAACCAACACTCTCCCACGGCACCTAGGAAAAACCCAGACAATACATCTCCCTCCTGCACATCTGTATAGATAAGCATTTCGGTGCAAAGCAGGAAAAGCACAGAAAGGAATGTAGTAGCAATTAACCAGACACCGTCCATGCTCCCCAACCCCCATGGCAGCGTAGCTGACACCCCTGGCCATTGGGGGTGACCACCCGTAGGGAAGCTGAAGTCTGAGAAGGGACTGAAAGCTTGTCAGACTCCAAAAGTATTTTGGAGTGTATCCCGAAGGGCTCTTTTCTCAGTGGGAGAAAGGGAAGCCAGGTTTTCTTTCCTAGTAGATGAATAAGCATTTTGGCAGCCCCCTCACTCAGGTTGCCGATTCCAGGTTGGGAAATTCCTGGAGATTTGGGGGTGGAGCCTTGGGAAGGCGGAGTTAAGGGGGGAGAGGCAACTCAGCTGGGTAGAACACCTTCTGGACCCTCCGAAACAGACATCTCCTCCAGTGCAACTGCCCTCCGTGATCTGGGGGTGAGTCATAACACTGGGGGATCTCCAGGCCCCCCCTGGACACTTATAGAAACAAATCAGCAGAATAATCTGTCACGCTGTACAAATCACACTAGAGACAACTGTCTTCTTATACAGTCCTACTTACTTACAACCAAAATTGACACACATAACAGATAGTTTTGCCACCAGGCATCAATGACAACTGCACCAGTTGAATAGTGACCTAAGAGTCCTTGAAAGTACAAGTCTCTCTTCAGATGGATGTGGTCAGCAGCTGGTGCAGAGAAGAGTTTGGTCAGGCTCCTTAGTCCGGTCACACCACACAGGGCTTCATAAGAAGATAACTGTTTATTAGTGGATCTAGTACTAAAGAACATGTGTACAGCTTGTGTCAGGAATGGCCGTCAGTATTAGGGCCTCTGACTTACAGTGAAATCAAACATTCCCCCTGTAAGCATGAGCCAATGGATATATTTCGCACGGGCGGCAAAGCAAGCGAGCATAGCAGAGAAGCCGTTAACTTTCCCAGTCGTGGAAACTGCAGCTGGAACATCTACAAGGTCAAGCATAAGATAGCACACAGTAGCTGGGCAGGATAGAGCTGAGAATGAGAAGGAGGGTACCCCTCCACATTCCAGAACTATGACAGGGCTACTTGACAAGTTTCCAGAAGAAAGCACGCAGCAGACGGCATGAGCTCAAGGCTAGCTGTAGTGCGAACCAAAGGAGCGGCGACGGCACGCCTAGGTTGCTCTGCCATTTCTTAGGGCTTCATCAGGCCGCTTTTCTTTGGTGATGGAGCTCAACTCAGTCTCTGCCAAGATTCAAAGCGACACAGAGTAGCTAGGTATCAGGCTCTGTGTGTCTGTGTGTTTTTGTGTGTTTGCCTACCTGGACATTGGCAACTAGGACTCCCAGCTCTAAATTGGGAAATACCTGGAGATTTAGTGAATGGAGCTTGGGGAGGGGAGGGTTTGGGGTGGGGAGGGACCCCAGCAGGGTACACTGCCTCCAAAGCAGCCATCTTCTCCAGGGGAACTGGCCTTGGTTGTCTTCAGGTCAATTGTAACAGCCAGGGGTCATTTCGTAGAAAAAGAGGTGCAGGAGCTCATTAGCATAACTTATTCACATAGCTCATTTGCATATGCCACACCCCCTGACATCACCGGAAGTGTATCAGAAGGCAACACCCACCGCTCAGGCTCCACTGGACTGTTTTGGAGTGCTAGCTATTGGGAGAGGGGGGGACGTGCAGATCTGTCCTCGCAGAGGAGGGAGAGCTGGTACCTGAATAAAACTTGGTCTTAAAGGTGCCACTGGACTGTTTTGGATTGCTAGCTATGAGGGGTGGGGGGGTGGAATGTGCAGATCTGTCCTGGCAGAGGACGGAGAGCTTGTACCTGAATAAAACTCGGTCCTAAAGGTGCCACTGGACTGTTTTGGCCCGGGGGCTCTGCAGCGTACCTGGCTGCTTCTTGCTCTGACTGAGGGCTGCTGGGAGCAGGGGGTGGGGCTTGTTGCATGTGCCTGCTCCCTGGGCTCTTTACTGCCGGAGCTCCGCTCCTGCAGGAAATGACCCCTGGAGATCTCCAGGTGCTACCTGGAGGTTGACTACCCCGTTGGCAACCCTTCTTATACCCTAGGGCTCTGGTTGGTCTCTAAGTTACCACTGGACTCAGTTCTGGCTGAGAGGGTCTTCCCGAGGGTCAAGAACTGCAGCTGCCGCTGGGGAGTTAAGTC